TTGCTAAGAGCCCAGGAAGGAAAGGCTTTCAGCTCCCACAGGTCTCTGCCAAACATTCAGGATTGAGCTACATGCTGTTTTACTCTAAGCTCATCCCAAGCAGACTCAGGGAGTTACAGGTCACATTTACTCTTCTCATTAGCAGGAGGATTTGCCTACAGTTTGTGCATTCATCCCGCCTTTCAGAGTTTAGATCAGAATCTCCAGCAACCCCTCAGACACAGGGACGTGCACGTGCAATGTTCTAAATGGAAGATGTGGCACATCTCTGCAAAACTTGCTCAAGTCCTAGCACCCATTTTCTGTAAAAGTGCCTTGAAAGAGAAAAAAGTTCAATATATTTGGAGTTATTACTGTGGCCTTCCTTCCACTGCAAGAGTCTGGGGCTGTTATTTCCCTGCCTTTACAAGCAATCACAAGTATTCATGTGGAACAAGCTTTAGAAATAACCAGGAAGAAAAGACTGCAGGAAACACTGAATTTATTGACTCAGGGAGAGTCAAACTGAGGAATGAGTTAAGAAATCCCCACGTAGTACTGAAGATGACAAAAATGTTATTATCCAAATTCACTAAATATTCCTAGAAAACCTAATGCCTTAATCATGCTGCCTACAAACTACATAGAGGGACACTGAGGCATGTAAGCTCTGATGGATTTTCACATATACAGGGGTGCGTGTGTGTGGGAAGTCTGATTTAATCAAGCCTCTCTTGAACACAGCCATAGTCTGTGTAATTCTGCAGTGCCCTTTCTGCTAAGTGCATGCTGATTAAAAATATCAAAGCCCAGATGTTCTCTTCTACCTCTCTAGACAGTCCTTTCTCCCATTCCTTTGCATTTTTTCTCCTCCTTGCTCCTATATTTGAGTTTTAGTCTCAGGTATAATTTTAATTTGTCTTGTGAAGGAATTGGTAAGTGAATATAAGAATACTAGTGAATATAAGGATACTAGTGATACTATAGCTGTGGCTATCTCTAGGAATAAGAGTGACATATCTCACTAATATATATATATATATCTTAGCAACAGAAAGATGTTGAATAATATATGATTAAAATAGAGGAGAAGCAATTTTGAAACTTATTTCTTATCTTACCATATATAATATTGGCATTCTTCTAGGGTGCAATGAAAGTGTTATGTGAGCTGAGAGCAGATAACCTTAATTTTATAGCCTGGCAATTGAATGTGGATGCACTTATGATTACAATTGTATTAACACATATCTTGAGTGCTGATCAGGCTCCCATCTCAGTGGATATAGGAAAAACCTTTTAAACTGCCAGTTTTGTAATATATTTTGAAGTGTCTAATCGGGACTAATTTAATTTTATGAGAACACACATGTAAAATAGGTAAAGTACAAATACTCCCAAAGTCAATACAAATTACTTTAGTGTTGGTTACTTTGCTTAATTAGAAATCAAAATTTGAAATTTGGAGTCAGTGTGCCCCTTTCAGATCAAACACAAACATGTTGTGAAGGGGGTAGGTGGGAACTCAGATCCTGAGGAAGGGCTTTTTGTGAACAGTGACACATGTCCGACAACACTGAAGAGACTTTGGACCTACATCCTTCCTTTTCTGGTAAGAAGACTTGATAGGTCATTTATGCTTTTAATTCAGAGCTTAAGTAAAGTAGAAAATTTAGAAATAGATAACAGAAATACTAAGTTTTCCCAGCTGTCTTTCAGGGCACTCCTCATTCTTTTTTGGTGTACCTAGAGGTTCAGAATAGATGTTAGGAGACATTTCTTTATCAAGAGGGTAGTCAAACACTGGAAGAGAGAGGTGATCACTGCCCCAAGCCTGTCAGTGTTTAAGAGGCATTTGGACAATGCCCTTAATAATATGCTTTAACTTTTCCTCAGCCCTGAAGTAGTCAGGCATTTGGACTAGAGGATTGTTGTAGGTTACTTCCAACTGGAAATATTCTATACTAACCTCTTATGCTAGCATGAGAGTATGATAAACCACAGACCTTCAGAGCACTGGTAAGGGGCTCTAAACAAACCTGTTCATCAAGTGTTGCTGCCTCTCTCAGGAGATCATTCATTTCATCTGCAGTGTCATCAACCTGGATGGTCCAAAGCACAGCATGGTTCTTTTTTTCGGACATTGCTGCCTGTGTGTGAGGGAAACAAGTCAGTGCATCTGAATTATTTTTTTAGAGAGGGCACAGATTAAAATCTACAGGAATGGAATGGATATCCATAGATTAGAATTACATTAAGAAATAAAATGTCATCAATGTTTGTACCTGGAGATGTGTGGCCGTGAGGTTCAGGTCATTCAAGCGCTTTTGAGCTGCAACACCTGTCGAAATGCTCAGTAAAGTTGATTTGCTTTCATCAATAGCCAGAACTGCTAATCGGATATCATCTGTCAAATCCCAAATACATTTATCGCAGCCTGATAAGAAAATAAGAGACTGTCATTTTTCTTTAGTGTTTGTGTCAGTTAACAACAAATAACTAAAATTATTCATTTTATAGCGCTTTTGCCCCATGGCTTTCCCTCTCTTTTTCATTGATGGATCCTGATGGATACCCATTTTTCTTTCACTTTCATCCACCATCTTCCAAGATCCCACAGGACAGTCACAACGCTTCCAGCTGAGCAGCACCAGATGGGACTGCTCCGAGAGGCTGCCACAGCAGGGAGAGAGAGAGAGGAGGTATTTCCTGGCTATTCCCTAGAGGCTGTCTCTGCATGTTTGTGGCCCAAAGAGCAATAGATGGGGGTCAAAAAAACAGCTTCATTTTGTCAGAACACAAACATCTGTATTTAAAATCTGGTGGTATGAGAAGTAAGGAAGTCCAGCAGATGGACTCTTGGCTGCCTATTTGATTAGGAAGACAACTTCTAAAAACACAGTTGTAACATGTTTGGAGTACACTTGTGCAGAACTAAATGTGAGTGCTTGCAATACCACCTTGTTTTTAGTGACATTAGTGAAAGAGACTTAGGTGATTGTGAAATGCCATTCCTCCAGAACTTTTGCTTGGTGTTGTACAGTCTGTATTCATGATGGTAGCAGCTCCCAAACATTTTCTTCCTGGTTGCATTTCCAGGCACACAACCCCTATTCTTGGGAGCTAGTTTAGGAACCCATGTGTGCTACATGGTCTGCACTATACCTACATGGTCTGCACTATACCACAGGCACAACTACACTAACATTTTAAAAATTATCAGTTACCAATAATTATACAACGTATAGTTTCTGGAAACTCCCCAGACTTCCTATCATTAGAATAGGGCAGATGGTAGTGGAAAGGCAGCTGCCTGATGGATGTGAGTCAAATTGTCAACAGCAACAATTTATATTAGGTGTACAACTAGGAAACTAGAAGTGATATCATAGAATGTGCAAGACAGCACAGATAATGCTGTTATGGCAGTTTTTAGGGCCAGGATATTATTTTGCAGGCACTGTGTCTCAAAATCTAGAAAAGTGGCTTTGGCAATACTTCCTTACTGCTGCGCAGTTTGTACCTAAACATCCAGTCTGTATTACAGAGTTGGACGTATGCATGTACTCAGTCAAGCAAGTGAGATCATATTTAAATACTCAGTCAGTGGGGCATTGTGGATACTCATGTTTAAGTGCCCTGTGGAACCAAGGTCACTGTGGAACCAAGGTCACTTAGCCCACTGGAGAGCCCAGCTCTTAAGTTAGTATTTGTAAACATCTAAATACAATAGCAATATTAATATTTGGTTGTTCTCATGATAATTTTCTTACTGATGGTTGGGCAGTCTGTGCCAGTAGAACCTTCAGGACTGTCTGCGAGGCATTCTCCGGTCTGGCTGTCACACATTCTCCCTCCGCAGTTACATTCTGTGGGGAAAAAAAAGGATTTTTAAAAGAATAATCTTCCAAATGTACAATGTACATATGCTCTCCCAAGACTAGTGACTTCTTGGACTCATTTTTCCTTCAGTATGTAGAAAAAGGTATTCTTTGCACTGTGGTCAAATGGCACCAGATAAAATATGAGATGGGAAATAGAACCAGAAAGCTTATGCTGAAGTGACTTGTTCAGACCATCCCAGCTATCACAAGCAGAAGAAGTGAGGCCAGAGTTGCCCAGCTGAGCCATTGTGCATCACTGTCTAGAGAGGGTGACGTTTAGGATATGGGCTAAGAAAAGTTGGAGAACTAAAGATAATTACTAGTTACAAATCTCTCCACAGCCCTGTAGAGTTTATCAACTCTCTGTCAGGCTGCCTTTTAATAAGCTTACCAGTTATCAGGCATTGATAGTGGACTCCAATTCCATCATCAGCTTGAGCATATCAAAAAGTAAATATCTCCTACCACTTACAATGAAGAATAAATGAGGTTTCACATTCTTTTAAACTTGAGTAAGTTACATTTTTATTGCCAGCACAAGTGGCTTTTTAAAAAAGTATAATTTTTAATCTAAAGTGCCTCTTGCTAGGGTTAATTGACCTTCTAAAATATATTATTTTAAAGATTAAAATATTCTTGGAACACTTTGATAGAACAACAACAAATCAAGCAAACCATAAGAACAGCAGTGACTTATCTGGAATTTGTTTTGCTCTTGTGATTCATGGTTTCAGCAGAATCTCATGTAACAAAACTGTTTACTGCCATTTTATTGCAGCCTGTTCAATTGTCTGTATGAATCACCCGTGTATTTACATTCCACATTTTACATTATAGGAATTATCAGGGAAAATGTATAATACATCTTCAAAGTCAACACGATGCACCACCATTGGAATAATTCTCTGTAACTGAACCAGTGTTAGTAGAACTACTCAATTTTTGTACTGATGTAAGAACAGAATATGGTAATAGATTTTGAGGGGCAATCCATATTTTGACCTCACCACAATCTATATGTGCTTTGGATCTACAATTTTTTTAAAAAAAATATTTCTTTTGTTAAGAAGTGAAAGAAGAGTCTCAATTGAAAGCAGAGATTTCTCTTTACCTACATCAAAGGATCTAGGTTATCCCCAGGTGGCAAAATGATTACAGTTACAAGATTAAAATTTAGATTAAATTTGTGCTCAAGAAAATCAATTTGTGTTTTATTTAAATGGATAACTCTTAATTAGCTACACAAATGCTTATGGTAAATTAATTTCAAAAGGGGTCCTGACAATTTTTAATCTACTTATTTAGGAGATACTACATTTTTAGTAGGGAATTAAGACTTTCACTGCTACTGTGGTTTACTGGTGGAGTAAGTTTCTAAATTTACCTTTATTTCTGAGGGACATTTGTGGAAAGTTTTGAAGTATGGCTAAAAGGCATGTGGTTAATAAATTTATTGAACAGAAGCTGAAAACTACTATCCACAGCTAAGTAGATTTTGCCTTTTGCTTGAAAGGAAAAAAAAAGATTATATTAGCTGGATAGATCTGTTTGCTCATTTAGTGATTTTGCATTTTTTTGTTCTATATACCCTTTGAGGTGCTCTGTGGAAGCCAGGTACACAGACTCTCTTGTTTCTCACGCTGGTTTCTTTTCTGTATTTTTGTATTTTAAATAAAGTATTTGTCTTATTACAGAATCAATATTTTTCTGAATAAGAGTTCCTAATTGCTCCAAAACGCCAAACAAAGCATAAGCTTGCCTCGTAAACTGCCCGAATAGTTTGGATATCATGGATATATTGAGTGATGCAGGCAATCTAGGCAGTGCTGTCAAATACAGCATGTTGTAGTGTTTAGCAGAAATGAAGATGGAATGAGAAGTGTGTAATTCTCTGAAACATAATACTTCAAAGTCAGTATCTGCTAGAGTCAACTATAAGATTAAATTCACTCCTAAATAGAGAAAAAGCTGTACCTCTCACTACATATTCAAGTGTCCAAGGACTTTTTATTTTTAGCAAAGATCAAACAGTACAAGGAAATCTGCTAACAAAGAAAATTACTGAGCTGGTTTGTAGCCTGCATGACAAACCTCTGTAGAGAAGTCCTGTGCACCATGAAATCCCACTTAAACTGTACCTCAGAAATGTACGTAATGCCAAGGCATTCTGCCTCTAATTCCTGTGACTCCTTAAAGGTAAAAGCCAAAACTATACTGAGGTGATGAAAGTGCTACTTAACTTCAGTTCAGAAACTCTGTGTTCAGAGATGCCTTCCAAAATGATGTTTCGCATAATCTGTTTAGACACTTGGAATGCTCTGTAATCCTCAGCCTTCTGGCAAAGCCACTCATAGCTGTTTGAAGCTCTGCTTTTGCACATGGCCAGGGCACAATTGCTGCGTCTTGCTGAGTTGAAGTTGGGTGCATTTCTCCTGCCACATGGCGTTCAGAAGCCACAAACTAGACCCTGTCATTCCTTAAGGGAGAACTGCAGTCAAATAACTCTGGGGAACTGAATTAGGCAGTGAAGTGCATAAACAAAGTTTGCTTTTGCAGCCTCAAAATCATAGAGATGTTGAATTTCAGGCAGGTCTTAAGTGTCCAAATCCAGGCAGGAGGTAAGTTTTGGGGGGTACTCTTCCCTACAGCTGTTGCCTTTTTGGCTGGTTTGGATATCTGGGATCAGCTTGTGGAATTACTGTGTGTGAGCAGCATCTCTCCCCATTCAGCATAAACGGAATTTAAGCATGTGGCTTAGAGATATGAATTACATCCTGGAGATGGCCAATCAACTTCTCGCTGTCACCGTACAGGAATGTAAAAACAGAAGGGACCAGTAGTGGCATCATACATGGTCCCCTACAAATGAAGACTGTAGCACAAAGGACACTTGAGTACAGAGCATCCTCACCGCCTCCCCCTGCACGCCTTAGCACTTTACAATAAGCTAGTAAAAAGCAAAGTCCAAGTGTACAGTGATTTGCAACAAAGACATAGGTTTGATCAATACACTGCTAAGGCCCCAAGGCTTCTAGCCCTCTACCTGGAGACCAAGGAGCACTTCAAAGGTCTGGGTTGGGTGCGTGTTTTGTCTGTGTCTTACCTTCAAGTCAGACTGAGAACTAGGAGTGATCCATCTCCCCCATTTGTGTTCTGGTCCTTGAGAGAAAGACCCCGGGAAAGCGATTGGGACGAAGCCCCAAGGTCCTTGGTCTGAGCATTTTGACTTTAGCTGTGGCTGTTCCTTAGTGCTTTGAAAGGGGTTGGGAGGAAGCCCCAAGGTCCTTGGTCTGAGTACCTGCATTTTTACTTTAGCTATGGCTGTTTCTTAGTGCTTTGAAAGGGGATGTAATCTCTCCTCCCAGAGCCAAAGCGAGGACAAAGGGCATGAGGCCAAAGTCCTCTTTGGATTTAAATCCATGTAAATTAGGAGAATACTTATCTTAGAGGATTTAAACCTCTTTGGCCTCTCTCTCAGTAGGTATATTTTGGTAAGATCCTCTGGGTAGCACTTTACCAGCCTTGGAAGTACAGTCATCTCTGGTGTAGAAATACAGTAACCAAGACTACACAGAGACGTGGGAAATGCAGAACACATTAGCAGCCTGAAAACTAGCAGATACTGATTGAGGATGGGATCAGGACAGCAAGGACAATCCTGTTCCCATAAAAACTGCTTTCAGGTCTTTAAGTGCTGTCAGTCTGAGTGGTCATGTTGGGCAGCATGTGATATGAGCAAACACAAAGGTGAAGTCTCTGCCAAAAGAAAGCTTAGACACCCTTATTTAAAACAAGATGCAGGACACAACAGTGCCTATTCATCCTACCCAGGTGTTTGAGATTTTGGGCTCTGGGGTTTGAGAATTCCTCATGGGCAATGGAAAGAGGGTTAGTGCCCAGGATAATTCAGCTGAACAGGCATCCAAATTATCCCGCCAGGGCCTGTCCTGGTTTTTAGTTGAGACAGAGCTAGGTTTCTTTTTAGTAGCTATAAAAGGGCTGTGTTTTGGTTTCAGCCTGGTATTTGTTATGAGAAAAACATTGATAACATGGCAATGTTTTCATTTGTCACTGGAAGTTGAAGGACGTCATGTTTTGTTGGTCTACAAGTGAAAGATCTAGGGGAGGATGAGGAATATTTAAATTAATAAGCTAAAGTGGCAATTGGATATGCCAATAGGATATTCCATATCATATCATGTCATATTCAGCATATTAATGGGGATTTCTCCCTGTCTTGCTCTCTCTGGCTTTTGCTTGGGTGGGATTGTGGTTTCAGTTTCCAGATTGTTGCTCCTCCAGGATTGTTATCTGGGAATGGGCTGGGCTTGGTCAGCGAGTGGTGAATAGTTGCACTGTGTATCACGCATTTGGATATTGTATTACTATTATTATCATTATTATTTTAAGTTTTATTTTATTTCTATTATTAAATTATTCTTATCTCAACCTATGAGTCTCCTTACCCTTGTCCCCCAATTCTCTCCCCTGTCCCTGGGAAGGTAGTGAGTGAATGGCTGTGTTTGGCTGCTGGCCAAGGGCTAGCCAAGTAAAACTATCACAGGGATGCAGGTGTCTGATGACTGATTCTGGCATTTCTGATCTCTGGGAAGTCACTTGTAGACCATGCTGTGCTGTGTTTTGCTCTGCTCTCCTCTACTAAACTATTGTAGACAATACCTGTACAGTTTTTAGCGAATCTGGCATCCCCATAGTAACCCGGAGCGCATCGTTCGCACTTGAACCCAGTGGTGTTGCGCAGGCAGTTGCGACACTGGCCGGTCACTTCATCACAGTCTTCAAAAATCAGGTTCGGGTCTGAGTTGCCGCTGCAATCGCATTTTTTACAAGTGCTTCCAATTAGCAAAGGGTTCCCATAGTAACCAGGGGCACACCTGAAAGGAAGAGCAAGCCCAGCAATGATGAGCAATGACATTCCCACCTGCAGTACCATTTTTTCTCTGACCTTATTTATGTCACCAGGAGCTGATGACGGTCTGCAACCACTAAAGGACAAAAGGCAAATTAGGAGCTGTATTCCTGCAGAGGCTGTTTTGTGCTTTAATCTCAATCTCTACAGTTATATATTTTTCCCTTCTTGAACACTCTTGGTATCTCGATCACACCAGTCTGCATTACTCTTTTTTTGGTGTCTTTAGCAGTAAAATGTTTTGTTTCCCATTGTTTTAAAATCTATGACAGAATGACCTTGGCAGACAGGCAGCTCTAGTGTTTATTTTGGTCTCTTTCAGCTTTGGATCTTATGAACTATGTTGTATTATATAGGAAACCAGGGTAAGAGACTGCATTTCATAATGCTGAAACTCAGGAAATTCAGATCTTATTTTCATTATAATGCATATAACAAAGTACTGACCAGAAAAGGTTTATATAAATACTTCTATGGTGAGGCACTGGGATGATTTCTGATTTTTGCTAAACAGAACAGGCATTAAACCAGCCTCTAATTTTTCAGATTTGTTCAATGTTAGCCTCCTGTCTGAGAGCACAAGGCTGAGTGCAGCCAGCAGGATTCCTCTGTTGATTTGCAGAAGGATAGAGGGAGGCGAGTACCAAGCACCACAGGGAAGGCCTGAAATGGGTCCAAAATGCTTTTCATGTCTTGTTACATTTTGGAAGCATTTCACTTGAAAGCTTGCTACTTCTTAAAATGAAGGAGATTTTGAAACTGTAGTGGATTTTGAAAGTCTAGACAAACCAGTGATACCTAATGCTCCTGGGGGACCAGTGACCCTAAGCTAAGAGGTAATAGAATCATCGAATGGTTTGGGTTGGAAGGGACTTTTCAAGGTCATCTAGTCCAACCCCGCTTCAGTGAGCAGGGATACCTTCCACTAGATCAAGTTGCTCAGAGCCCCATCCAACCTGACCCTGAATGTTTCCAGGGATAGAATAGGTAATAGATTTAGTGTCATCACTTGGAAAGAGAGGGTTTAATTTAAAGAAGTTTCTACTGGTCACAGGGAGTGTGTTTAATCCTATGAGCTAGAGGAACTTCTGCAAAACTGCCGGTGAGGTGAACAGAGCCAGTGGAGCAGCTCATGGGAGCAAATCCTGGAGTGAGAGCATCATTGGTGGAGCTGGAAGCCACAGCAGCATGGAGCTGAGGTTGATGGAATGGATGGGACAGCTGGCAGGACAAGGGCAACCCACACCGTTCATGGTTTCACTGTGGGGTGGCAGGAGGGTCCATGACCCAGCAGCTTGGGGCACAGAGAGCAGGGACTCATACCCCTAAAACGGAAATGAAGAATTACTGAGGGGATAACTAGCTGGTGTAGCAATTTCTCGCTGAAGAAATTGGAGGACTGAATAGTTGCTGCAGTGATTTAGGTAAGGAGTAGTTATTGTATTTCACCTTGTTTTATCACCCTGTTGTCCTTGTCTTTTCTCCTATCCATAAAGTCCTGTGTTAAGATACTGTTTGTTCTGCTGTTTGTTGATGGGGAGCATGAGCTCTCAGGCAGTTTACTTATTTTCACAGGTTTCTGGCTGGGAACCTGAGTTGAGGTCTGTTGTCTCCTAAAATCTGAACATAGTCAAATCCAGGTTCTGCTATGTCTGAACAACGAAAATGTGGGAGATCTGATAAGAGCTTCCAGTTTTGATCTGTTCCTACATTTGCTGATTTATTTTCTTTTAATAAAGAAAGTAATTTCCTCAGTGCTGCTTTGTTCATGTTCCAGCCCTCAACCCCCACGGTAAAAACACATACAATTTTAAGCATCTTAATACAAACCACTTGGTTGCGTCAAATACTGCCTTTGCCAATGGCAAAGACTCTGTTTGTCTCTTTGCAGCCCTGCCAGAATCTTTGGTGCAGATCTTACCATTTGGGTCACACAGATGTAAAGAATAAAAGTGTGACCTGGAGTTCTGTGCATCCCTTGAAGAACTCTGAATGTGACACAGAGCATAATGAATGTGATTTAGCTGACTGACTTTGGAGGGATCACTCCCCATTCCCATGGGATTTAGAGTAGGCAGTGATAGGTAATGCTACTATTTAGTCATGCCAAAAGTCTTGCTATAATTTTCTAATATTTCAGCCAATCTGAGATTGTATTATTTCCCAAATTTCAGCATTTCAGTATGTTTGAACAGGAAAAAAACATACTTCTGTGGTTTTTTTTTTTTTTTTTAAATAAATCTGTAGAACCATTTGATTTGTTCTGAACTGTCAAAATTTTGCAGAGTTGCTTTTTAATTTTCTGTAGTTAGGTATTTTCCAAATGATTGTCTGTCTAATGTGGCCACCACGTCCCAGAAGACAGTGAGCAGTGCTGAGGCCAGACCAGCATTTTGCTTACCACTACCCAGCTTTAGCTTCCAACCAACATCTACCAAAGACTGCATGCTATTGCCATCAGGCCCACAATGTCTGCCCTCTCATCAGGGCAAGGTGTTTTTTTCTTCTCTGAAATGAACCATTCAGTTGATTTGCCAGAAACAGTGGGCAGTTCCTCACATCCTCGCAGATATATTTTGTAAGTGCTGCTTTTTATGACCATCTGACTTTAATTAGCCATATCTCCTCATCTGGAGTAGCTGTCTAAAACAAATAGAAACTTTTAGAGCTGAAAATAAATACGTCACCTTCACTTTCCCCTTCCCTTTGCCACTCAGTGCGTCTCATATGGCTGAACTGCACTTGACCTCTTTGTTGGTAGCGTGTGAGAAGAGCAGAGGCTGCTGGGTGGAAATGTACTGCTCCATCTCTGTGCTTTATGGCCTGAAAAAGTAGAGGCCTGTGGTAAATGTCTTTCCCTCTGCTGTAGCAATAAATGGCCCTTTGTTGCTAAGAAAAAATATTTTATCTCTCATATTAAAGCCGCTACATTATCTTTGTTTCATTTTGCAGCCATGTTTGCTTCCTGTAATTATTGGTAAGTAAGAAATTAACTTCCTCTTCCCTGGTATATGCCAAAAGAACCTTCTTTGTCTATTCACTTTGAACATTAAAGTATCATTTGTTTGGTTATCTTTTTTTAACATTTGGGTATTAACAAAACGTGGATTTCATCTGCTCTCAGCTTAATGCTTTATTGCTGAAGTCCAGGAGCAAAATGATTAATTCCTAAATTTCAAATTGGGAAGCTGGTGTTTGCAGTTCCTAGCAAAGGACTCCATGGTTTCACAACACCGTTTGCTGGCACACATAAACTGGAAAGGTTTGTGCCAAGCCCCTGGAGCAGCACAAGAAAGCCTCCTACATGAATGCCAGAGGAAACAGAGCAGATGATTTCCTCCCTCTGTGCAGCTCTGGAGGTCCCATGCTCTGCCTGGGGAGGAGTGTTCTGCAGCTCGATGCCCCGCGGCGCCCGTCACCCACCCCTGCGGAGGGCTGGGAGGGAGAGTGGTGGGCAGGACGTAGCCTTCCTCTCCCCGGGGAAGGGAGCTGCTATTTGGGCTGCAGGGAGGGACAGGGACAATGTCCCTTCTCACTTGGGATGCCCCGGTCTTCCTGCCAGCATGTTGATGGTGCTTAGCTGCTGGTGGGAGCAGAGACTGGTGGCAGTGCCCAGCAGCAGTGTATGTGAGGCAGGGACTTGCTCTTTTGTGAGTGGACAGGGACAAGCAATACCTTTCTCTTTAGTCTTTGAAACGCTTTTCGGCATTTCTCACATGAATGGGAGCAGGACCAGAAGCCTACCAGAAAGAAAGTCCTGTTTGTCACTGCTTTCCACTTACTCCAGCAGTTAGTCAAGAACTCAACACGGTGACCAGGACAGGCTGGTTTCTTTCTGTAGCTTTTTCTAAGCAATCTACACAGCTTTGCATTCCTTCAGACAGATGCACTGTGTCAGGCTGGGTACTGGCTTTTAAAAACCGAAGTTGATGCTATTTTCTGCTGTTCCTATGCATCTGCTACTCATTTCATAGGATTTGAATTGCTTGTAGTCTAGGCTGACATTTTAATAACCATTAAGAAACCTCATTGACCTTTTAATTATTTGCATTATCCTTTGTCTATAAATCTGACATTTTAGAAGAACAAAAGAATACAGCCATAGGCCTGGAAACAAGGGTGGGTTTTTTTATTTTTGTGACATCTGTCTAAAGGGCTTTCACTGTTGCTGTCACCATGTTAGTGATGTGGAGGTAATATGCTGAAGTTTTTGCATCATCTGGAAGGGCATAAGGCTTCACTCTTTTTTCATCTTATCTTTTTCTTATTGGTTTCTCTTTGTGTCTTAAGCATCCCCTTTCTCCCTTCTCTGATAGTTATGTTAAGTATCATTTGAATTCAGGACCTGCCCATTAATGACAGTGGACTGAAGTCTTAAATACTTCAGGGGCTTTAAGGAAAAACTAAATGAGGTGTTCAGGAAGCCAGTGTCTGAGCCATCCTATACCCCTCAGTCTTTGTGTTAGAGCTGTTATAATTTATTGACTGCTCAAGGAGAATTTCCAAATTATAATCAGACCTTTGACATTCATTGGAACATCATCCATGTGTGCTCATATTGAGTAAGATGGCCCTTTACAAGATAGGAGAGTAAGTTATATTTCTTCTCTATAACTCCATTTGTTTGTGTACTTTGTTATTTAGAAGGTATTTACTGGTAATTGTTATGGGCATAAGAGAAAATTGAAAAGCAACACTGGCTTATGGTTGTTTGCTTGACTTTATTGAAATATGCCTGTGAAGTACCTTTAAAATTTAACTAAAAAAGCTGCATCTGCTCATTAAGAATTTGACTAGATACCATATGGATTTTCTCCTTTGCTTTTGAAAAATTTATTTGGTAGAAGCTTGCTACATGTTTTAGAGTGGCGAATTGCAAGAGGCATCTATGTGGTGGTTGTTTTTCACTTCAGCTGCTGTTTCTGATTTGTATTTTTGTATTTTGATTTGTAAATTGTATTCCTTTTAGGAAGGTCACCACATGAAGGTACACAAAATGCAAGAACTTGATCAGAATATATCAGATGTATATGTCTCTTACTCTGACATTCTACACAGCGAGTTCTTATGGTTTTTAGTAGGAACTGCATGAGATCCTTTAACAGACATGATTCAACTTGATGAAAACACATGCACAAGATCTCTCTCCCATATGGTAAGATTCTCTCAAAGACTTCTGGACTTCGGTATTGTTGATGAGTAAGTCATCTTATTGGTTTCTTACCTTTCACAGTTGGGTCCTGCATAGTTTTCCTTGCAGACACAGCGCACACTTCCACTTTTTCTGTAACAGGAGACTGCAAAGCTGGAATTTCATTAGAATGAATAGTTAAAATAGCAGGCAATAGCAAACACTTGGGTGTATTTCTTTATTACATTCTGGACATTTGCTGTCAGTGTAAGCTCTGGCTCTTGGTTACTTATTGCTGAAATGGTATTCATAAGCTCTCTGTGTTATTCACATTATACCCCATTGTTTAGTCTTTTAAATTAGTATAGAAAGCATTAATTAATGCATATCATTACAGAGCTATGTAAATGCAGATATATAGAACTCCATGTCTTCCAGTGTAGATCAGACACACCTGAAGGTTTTATTACACAAATTTTAGATAAAGAACTCAGGATAAATATGTATTATGTCATGCGAACCCAATTGCTTCCTGCCTCTTATTCTAAGGCATGAAATATTGGTTATGAAAGACAACGCAGTCAGCACTTTAGGAATGTAGTTACTGGAAAGGGTGCAGCAATTTCCTGTATAAAACCTACAGTTTTCCTCAAATACACTTTGGAAGCACTGAGTGGTGAAAACTGAACTCAGTGAAAGTATCCTTATTTACAGTAGTTGAGGTCGCACTACCATCTCTCTGAATAAGCTGGGAAGAGTCTGAGGCCTCTTCTGAGACCAACATGACAAGTAGTAATACTGATTGCAGTAATGGTTTGGACTGTAATTTTCAGTATCATTATTCTGAATCATGTATTGCTTTGCTTTCTTAGATTTTCAAGGTTTAATAAATGCGTAACTAAATATGAGACCCAAGGAACAGCAGCAACCACATGTGGAAAGTGCAAATTGTATACACTTCAAACACAGTGATGGACATGGCTTAAACACATTTGCAGGAGAAAGACATACAGTCCTAAAGATGTTTCCAGTCAGTTTGCAATATGTGTGAGTAAGTTCCTGCCAGCACTGGAATGTGACCAGAGTACTGAGTGGCAGCAGTTGCCAGCTGCAGGCCCATAGTTGCTAAAACACAGGTCCTGAGCCATATAGTGCTGGGCAGCTGTGGCCAGGTTACATCCCTTTCACACAGAAGGACAAAAGACTCAGAGTGATGGGAAAGAGCATGATTCACATGCTGCTTGTTCCAGGAATGAGCAGCATTGAAAGGTGACAAGAATTCCTGCATAATTTCATTTCCCACCAGCATTTCTCAGCTGGTGGGACAACCAGGGTCAAATAAATCTGTGTCTGGATCTGTGCTGTCTCAAAATATTTAATATAACCAGAAAGAACATAAAATGAGATTCTTCCCACAGAATTCACAAATCAACTTCAGTAAAGATTTTTTGAGAACATATCAAGAAAATAATAACAGTTTGGCAAACTTCCTCTTCTTTTATGGAGGCTAATTCCTTCACGTAGTTGAAAAAACCACATTGTGGATTTAACTTATGAAATAAGACTGAAGCCTTCCTGAGGTTTTATATTTTTTGTGATCTTTTAGGGAAAAAAAGTTCACAAAATTCCCTCAGGTTTTTAAGATGTTACAAAAGATGTAACATCTGCTGGACTGTGAAGCAATGTCCCTCCTCCTTATTTTTTATTCCAAAAAGATGACATTACACTTCATGTATAATGTTCAAAAGTTATTCCAAAAGTTCCCAGGATAGGAGGTATGAAGGCAATCTGGCCAGAAAATTGAGAGACACACAGATGAATCCCAAGAAAAAATACATACCCAATGAGTCTGTCAGTTTACAGGTTTGGTCACTTTGTCTAGCTTTTATGAATTCACCGTCCATTTCCATAATAAAACAGAACACAAAACAACATCCTTGGCATGTTCTTTATTTAAGGCTTTTAATACTTCTCTGCTTTCTGGTAGTTACTGTTTTGCCTTAATATAAATGGAGTAGGATTAATAGAGGAAGAATTGTTGTTCTTTGAATTTAGTTATGCAAGGCTGAATGTTGCTCAATCATTATTATCTGCCTGTTCCAGCCTCAGTCAAGGCTATTGCTGTGGTCAGATCTCTCTCACGCAAGAAGCTGAACAGAAAATTTCTGCATGTTATTTAAACAGGAGTATGAAGCAAGTTGGGAGTGAATATTCCTTTAACTATTGCCTACGGGACTTTTCTGAGGGAAAATTCTGAAAAATAGAAGTGGATTTTTACGGAGGCAGTTTTAAAGGGACGGCATATCACAGAACATGGAATATCCTGCTATGGAAGGAACCCACATGGATCATCAAGTCCAATTCCTTTATTGATGCTAATGTTCTTTACAACTTCTATTCTCGCTCCCCAGTCCCAGGCTGCTGTGCTTTTGGGTTCAGGGCTTCCTTCTCTCTAGTGGTTTGGAATAAGAGAAGTGTTATATCCCTAGCAGAAGGACTAAGGAGCAGAGAATGCTCCTTGGCCTCTGCACCCATCTCCCATAGCGCTGGTAGAGACAGCCTGTAGCCCCCAGCTGGTCCCACCACACCGAGCCCTGCTGGGCTGGTGGGCTGGCTCCCTGCTGTCAGGGTCACTGTTGCAGAGCCTGGTGGGCTGTGGGGCTGGGCAGGGAAGGCAGACCCAGCCATATTCTGTCAAATTGCTCTGCAGGGAGAACAGGGAGAACAGACTAGACCTTGCTTGACTAACCATGCTTAGAAGGGACTGGGTCTTGTGCAGTAGTGCCTCAGGCATGTGCAGCTCAGGTTGTGGCTGAGAGAACAATTCCTTACACCAAAGTAAGTGCCTGTGCCCAACAGGTTAAAAAAATCACTTTCCTTTGCTAAGGAAAAAGCACTGCTTCTGACGGCTGCATTTCTACTATTTCTGGCAATACAATCGCTACTGAAACTGGAGGAGGTGGTCTGCTTTGTCTATGAGCTTGCTCACTCCTAAGCCTTTCTACATGTGAGCAAAGCCAGGTTCTTCCCTTGTCTCTGGAGAATTTTCTCTCTAATCCAGGCAAAGCTGCAGTTTTTCAACAATAGCTGTTCTCCACCCCATGGGCCTCCTTACATGTCTGCAGCACACTGTGAAAGCCAAGAGGTGATCTGGCAGGAGTTTGGCTGGAGTGATTTTGCTCCATTGCCATTTTGAGCTTGTGCCACTGAGCAGCTGAGCAAAATGCTACTCATCCCACCTTAAGGCTGTATAAGTAATCCTATGGCAACAGCAAACAAATACAGGGAGGAAATTCCCCTTTGCTGAGAAGCCCTGCTGAAAGCAGAATGGGAAACAACACAATGGGAGTATGTAACTCACTAAAAAATAGCTTCAACCCATTGGCAAGTATTAACCAGCACCTCTGTGCACTGTAGTGGGATTTGCATAGATTCCTCTCTCCAAGAGCACGGACCTCAAGCAAGAGGAAGCTGGTAATTTCTTTTAGCTGCATTACTGACGTGCCACTAACAGGTTCTAATAGCTGGTCATGGTTTGTAGTTATTTGTTTCTTCTGAAGGCACAAAACAGATAACAGCTGGAGCTCTTTGGCTTGGTCTTGGTTTTCTGTCAGATTTCAGTTTCTTACCACTAAGTAGCTGTGCATCAGCTGAAGGTATCTGTCACAGGGTTCTCCAGCCCTTTCCTTTTAAGTCTTCCTTAACTGACCAGATTCAGCCACTGTTTGCTCAGGAGTCTGCCTATGTTTTTTTGTGGTTGGTTTTAGCCTTCAGAGGTCATGGATTGAGCTTTCTGTATGTCTCTCTCAGCCATATACATCCCTGATGCCACCTTCCTAGGGAATTTGTCTTTGAGGGATTCTTGAAAGTAACCAGACAGCTGAATAATCTCTCCTGCATAAAAGAGGGAGAACTTGAATTTGCTCAAATATTTTCTCCTCCTTCTTGTTAAGAATTTATATGAGCACTTAATGATATTTTACACCATTTAAATCACAGAATCACAGAATGGTAGGGTTTGGAAGGGACCTCTGGAGATCATCTAGTCCAACACCCCTGCCAAAGCAGATTCACCTAGAGTAAGTTGCATAGGATTGCATCTAGGTAGGTTTTGAATATCTCCAGAGAAGAAGACTCCACAATCTGCCTGGGCAGCCTGTTCCAGTGCTCTGTCACCCTCACAGTAAATAAATTTTTCCTTATGTTTAAGTGGAACCTCCTGTGTTCCAGTTTTTGCCCGTTACCCCTTGTCCTATTGCTGGCCACCACTGGAAAGAGTCTGGCCCCATCCTCTTGACACCCACCCTTTAGATATTTTTAAATATTAATAAGGTCGCCTCTCAGTCTTCTCTTCTCTAGGCTAAACAGGCAGAGCTTTCTCAGTCTATCCTCATAAGAAAAATGCTTCAGCCCCTTCATAATCTCTGTAGCCTCCACTGGATTCTTTCCAGAAGTTCCCTATCTCTTTTGAACTGAGAAGCCCAGAACTGGACACAGTACTTCAGATATGGCCTCACCAGGGCAGAATAGAGGGGGAGGAGAACCTCCCTTGACCTGCTAATGCACCCCAGGATGCCATTGGCCTTCTTGGCCACAAGGGCACATTGTTGGCTCATGGTCAGCTGGTCATCCACCAGTACTCCCAGGTCCTTCTCTGCAGGGCTGCTTTCCAGTAGGTCAGCCCCTAACCTGTACTGGTGCCTGGGGTTATTCCTCCCCAGGTGCAGGACCCTGGCCCTTATTGACCTTCATCAGGTTCTTCTCTGCCCAGCATTCCAGCCTGTCCAGATCTCACTGAATGGCAGCACAGCCTTCCGGTGTATCAACCATTCCTCCCAGTTTAGCTGAGGGTACATGCAGTCCCTTCATCCAAGTCACTAATTAATATATTGAATAGGACTGGACCAAATACTAACCCTTGGGGAACACCACCAACCACAGGCCTCCAACTAGACTCTGCTGTTTCCTGTGGTTATAAATGTGAGCAGGAAAGGTCTCTTATTTTCCCCTGTTTGGCGAGGGGAGCCGTCTTTGTCTCTTGCATCCAGGAAGGGATGCTGACCCCACCTTGGAAAGAGT